CCCCCCCCCCCCCCCGCCCCGCACCCACCCCCATCCGATCCTTGCGCCGAGAAATACCGCATGGCTCTCAGAGCTTGACGGCTCGCTGATAAGAAAGCCGTTCGTTGTGCGGATCCCGGCAGAGCTTTGAGCTTGCTGGAGTTTAGGGCTTAGGGTTTACTTAGAGGATCATAGGACGTAAGTAGGGTGAAAGTACATTCACTTGGATAGAACCAGATTACCACCCTACCAACTACGACCTCAGATCCTTGAAGTGGGGCTCGGGAGGTAGACTAAGGTAGAATGGGATGCAGGGGCGACTTGTGAACGAGTTTGTTCCAACCCCATGCCCCTTCAGCCCCACACCCCCATTCAGTTTAGGCTTCATTCAGGAACATACTCTATAACTTATAACAATGCTTCCACCCCACAGTTCAATTACATGGGTTTGGTAGCGATGTGGAGTGGGGTTCAGAGTAAGTAGTAGCAGTATCCCGTTCTAGTCGCTACATCATTCAGTATTATCATTATTAGGGGCGAAATGTTCTTCAGCTGGGAGATTCCTGCTTTCAAGGCGTCAAATCGGATAAGACCCTCCATCTTCCCTCTATTAGACGCTAAATGCCCTTAATTTGGGACCATTTACCCCAGTTTGAGGGTACTTGGAGGGTCCTGGAAAGTGTAGGCCTTAACCCTAAACCCTAAATCCTAAAGTCTGGGGCGCAGGGTCAGAAGGTTTAGAGCTCCTGGAGCAGGTTTTTGGTGCTATCATGCCTGGGGGCTAAGCCTTTTCCGGGGTGTCCGGTTTAGGGTTTTGGGGTTTAGGGCTTAGGGTGTCCGTTTAGGGTTTGGGGTTTTGGGTTTTGGTTTGGGGTTATCATGTTTTTGGGCTACGCCTTTTCCGGGGTGTCCGTTTAGGTTTTAGGGTACAGGGTTTAGGCCTGAGCTCTCAAGTCAAACCTCTGAGGCCCCAAACCCTTCCGGAAGCCTCTTCGCCGGAAGCTAAACAGGACTGCCTAAAGTCCCAGAGTGCCCACTACTCTTTAATCCCGCAGTGTACCTGAAAACATGCTTTGCAGGACTGTTTCCATCATCCAGGGGCCTTATGAATTACCTATATTATTCCGGGGGTTCCTTGTTATAGATATAGTATAATGGGCCCTAAACCCTATTCTAAATGTTAAGGCCCCTACGTTACCTTCGAAGATGTTCCTTCTTCATCTTGCACTCTTACAGATCAGGGAGTTCGGGGGTCGGTTATAATTAGGTTTACCTTAATCCACCAGAACCGACTTTTTTATAGGGTCCCTATAAATCCCATATTAGGGTTTATAATCGTAGCCCTACAAAAAGTGGGTTTTTGGTAGTTTAAGGTAGGGTTTAGGGTTTTGAAGTCTCGGGTTGCGGATAAGTTTGCTTTGACTCTCAGCTCAGAACCTACTTGCCAAAAGTTCCCGAGCCCGGTTTAGGGTTTAGGGTTTAGGGCCTGCGCAAACCCGTTTGCAACCATATGCCATGCCTGTAAAGCCTGTAGGCCCGCATTCAACAACAGACCCAATGTGTAAAACCATCAAAGTCTCCTCTACCACCCTACACTGTAAACCCTAAACCACGCATGCATGCAAAGGTGGATGCCTCGGTGGAAAAATCCGGCAGCGGCTGCCACATTGCTGCTGGGCTCGGTTAAGTAGGTTTGTGATCAGGATTCGGGCGGGTTTCGGGTTTAGGGTTTAAAGTGAGGGCTTTAGGGCTTAATTATAGGGCTGATAGGGTTTCGGGGTTCGTATTTGTGATTAAGTGCCTTTGCTTTCTCGTGCAGGGCATTAGAATCGGGTTGGCGTTATCTGGTTCAAGTAACTATACGGCGTTTAGCTTGGACCGCATAAAGGTGTCGTGTTGTTTGTGACAGGGTCTACATCGGGTTGTAGAATGTTTAAGCACCGGGCCGTATTAAAAGGTTCGGGGTTTCGGGTTTTTTCGAAGCAGGGTTGCAATACTGGCGTGTGCCTTTTCGGTGCCCTTGCAGGCATACTGGTAGCAAGAATCCAACTATGGTTGGTTGTTTCTTATTTAGTTTCTTCTGTTGTTTTTTTTGGGGAAGGGTGGACTGGGTGTCCTGGTACATATGTTTCGGGTTTAGGGCCTCAGGTATACATTGCTACAAAGGACGAGGATCCCACTTTTCGGGCTTCATGCGTTAAGCTTCTTTTTAGGGTTTAGGGTTTAGGGTTTAGGGTTGTCGGACTTACAAGGGATTGGGTGTCCTGCCAGATAGCTATAGCTATACCTACTGGAGGCAGGCAGTACCTATTTGCCAAGTCTCCCGAACCTCTGAGTGTGTGTCTGCGTTTGGCATTGTTCAGGGCCCCTGACATGTAGGGTTTAGGGCTTTTGGGGTTTTGGGGTCTTGGGTTTCAGGGCTGGTGCGGTCCAACATTGAAGAAGCCTCATGTGAAAGCGTGATAGTTTCGCTTTGCCTAACTTGAACTTGTCTTTTGCAGACCCTAAACCCACAACCCCTAAACCCTAAACAAGTATAAACCCTAAACCCTAAACCTTATTATCATGTGCTAGATTCTAGCTTGTGTGATGTCATTTTGATGTATCTTTGGACCCTAAACCCTAAACCCCTAAACCCTTCACTCGCCTGCGGGTCCCGATGAAGCCTAGTTGGAGATTCTTCTACTCAAACGGGGGAATTGACAACAGACTTCTAGCTGAAGGTCTACGGGTACGGGTTTAGGGTTTGGGTTTAGGGTTTTATGAGTTTCGGGTGTCCGTCTGACCCCCTATCAGCGTTTGTAGAAAAGAAGCCCTCTCGACATGAGAACTGTACTTTGGCCCAGTTGTAAGGCCCTCAGAGACGGAGGATCTATCTGCCCTGAGCCCTATAAAGCCTAAACCCTAAAGCCCTCGCTGAAAGAGGAGTGATGTATCGGGCGTTTATGCCATGGTGCTTGTAAAGCTAATTGGGGATTTCCAAAAATAGGGGACCCTAATATAATACCCTACATAATAGGATCCTTATTATAAGGACCCCAAAATAAGGTACCCTAATTTTCGGAAACTCCCAATTTGGAATCAACTCAGGTGCTGGAGTCGCAGACGTCATGCCGGCATGGCTGCTGTTTGACAATGATTGCAAGGGATGTCGCTGGTTGACGGTTTAGGGTTTAGGGTTTAGGGATGTCGCTGGTTGTTCCAGGAATCGCAATTGCTTTCAGACTGCTGACTTCCGGGCAATATCAGCACCGTATTATGGAAATGGAACGTAGTCCTAAATCCCAAACCCTAAACCCAATCAAGAATGCTGCGTTAGAGCCCTACAACCCTCTAAGTAGGTAGTGCAGTTTTTGCAGCTATTGCTCTGACAGCTACAAGATTGCGTCTGCAGCAGCCTAAGCCATCCCAAACCCGCAACTCCCAAAGATCTAATATCGATGCCTAAATAATTACCAGAACTATCTTGGGTGTTCTTTAGTATATAATTATAGCATAACATACTTCGAAACCCTATCCTAATTATCAAGGCCCCTACATCATGATGTGTTTAGGGTGTACCTATAGTCTCCATTGTAGTTCCTTTTTTTGGCTTAACCATATATATATATATATATGGTTAAGCCAAAGAAAGGAACAATGATGGAGACTATAGGTGGGGCTCTTAGCTTCCGGCCAGGCAGGAGGCAATTTCACATGCGCTCGACCTTTGCAAGACCTGGTGGCACCGGGCTCAGAATCGTACAATAAATAGATAAGCTAGGGTTTAAGGTTCAGAGTTCAGGGTTTAGTGAATAAACAAACAAAGGTTGAGTTAGTCTATAAGCAAATGACTCATTTGTGTTTAGTACACAGTGAAATACAGAACATAAACCAGCAGACAGGTAGTTCGAGGTTTCGGATACGGCCTTGCATCTTGCTTGGAGCCGACAGAATTTCTCCCCAGTCCGCCAATGGATCCATAGATGTCAAGGGTTTAGCGTTTAGGGTTTAGGGCTTTTAGGGTTTAGGGCCAATCCCCTTGCCAACTCAGACACTGGACTGTAAAGAGGAACTGCCAAAGGCGGCACTAGAAGAAATAGACCGTGCTGCGCGCAGATATGAAAAGCCCACGATTCAGCACTCGACTTGCTGCCAATCATTTTGAGGCATTGATAATTAGAATAGGGCTTTTGGATCCAATATACTACAATTACAACAAGGAACCCCCAAAATAATATTGGTAACTATTATTTAGACCCCTACATTACTGCCACTCCGAATCCCCCAACCTCAACACGCCAACACCCCAATGCCCGGCTGGCCCCGGTCAAAATCCCCAACTCCTGTGCCCTATGCCCCAAACCTGAAAAAAGGCTAGAAAACCCTAAGCCCTAAACCCCAAACCTTGATATAGGGGACTAAATAATTAGCAGTACTATTGTGGGGTTCCTTACTACAAGTATAGTATAAGATACCCCAAAACCCCAGTTTAATTATTGAGGCCCATATGACCCCTAATGAAATTCAAGGACACCCCTATAGTGTAGTACCGCCAAGCAAGCTTCACGAGGTCCTTTTGTAGACCTTTTCAAGCTCGATATTAGGGTGTAGAGTTTATTCTTAGGGTTTAAAGTTTAGAGTTTATCAATAATATAGGGGCTTAAATAGTTACCTAAATTATTTTGGGGGTTCCGTGTTATAAATATTGTATAGTGGGGTTCAAAGCCCGGAAGCGGTGTTTTTTTTTGGCTGTGGCCCCGCCGGGTCTTTTTTGACCAGACATTTTTGGTTATTGAAGGTGATTATCGGCACATGTTCGTAAGCAAAGATCCCCGGCAAACTCCACACCCGGGGTCAAGAGCGGAAACGTCTCTTGAAAATGTTGCTCCGCAGCTTCCAGGAGTAACGCTCGCACTGCACCACCTTGGCCGAATTTCATCTATATTGGACCTTCCTCTTCGAATCCTTAGCTGCCAAAGGCGAAGACGAGGTCATCGCTTACCTCAAAGGTCAATATGTTTTTACCCTTTCCGAGCAAGATGCCAAAGATCAGCCGTGTGCAGCTGGGGTCTGCTTCTGGCACGCAGCCTGTGGAAATCAGCCAACTTCATGGCTTTCGCGATGCCCTCGTAGATGAACGGGGCGTCCAGTTGAAGGGTCTGGGGCCCAAGCGGTTCTTCACTCGCATGGCTGAGGTTTTGTGCATTCAGGGAGGCCAGCTGAGGAAGGGGCCGCGGCTGCTTCCAGGCCACCCCGGTTAGCGTGATCCGCTCTCAGCAACCTCGGATGGGCTGGAAAACATTGGTCGAAGCACTCGCCAACTTCTCAGTAAAGCTGAAAGTTTCCATAGAGTCAAGCGGGGCGACGGCAATGAAGGTCATGTCATGCCGCAAAGCCTTTCTAAATGGCAGCCGCATGCAGCAACATCCGCAGCGGACGCAGACTCCGACGATGAGGAGAAAGGGTCGTGGATTGAAATCCCCTCGCGCGAGTTGAGTCTGCCTGCCGCGAAGGCCAAGCTGGTAGCCCAAATGGCTGTCGAGAAATCTTGTACGCAATTGGAGGCACTCTGGCGCAAGGCCGGCGTACTCCGAAGTGACAATTTCAGTTTGCCTGACTGGCGTGTCCTTCGCGTCAAGTTCGTTGTGGTTCTCACCGGGCCCGAGGCGTCCAAATATTGGATGAGCCGCACTTCTGCTTTGTATTTGTGTTCTTGTACATGCTTTGCCGTGGCTGGCCGATGTGAGCACGAACAATGCGTGCATTACATTCTGGGCACTGGCAACATCGACCTGACGGTCGTCGGCAGCAAAGGTGATCGTCCCCCGAAGCCCGGTCCAAGCAAACGCGGTTGGTCCTCCGTCCAACTACACCATGAGCACGCGCGGGCAGATGTTCAAGACCAAGAACATCGAGAGAAACGACGCAGGGCGGCGGGCTACTTGCCATCGCCACCCCAAAGCCTCCTGCCTGGCCAACAAAGGGAGTGCGTGACGGATGCTGCCATGCGTCCGGCCTCCCACTCGTCCGTAACCGGTCCTCCAGACGTGCCTGTCTCTGCTCATCAAGAAGCGTGTGTCGACGGCGTACGTGGTGACAATCATCATCACAGGGAGCCTAGCCTGTATTCGACAGACTTCGACTTGGTCACTCGTGCGCTGGCTGCCGATGGCCACGTGCTTCCTCATGATGGCAAGATCTACTGGAACCAGGGAAGTAATGCACCCAGGCTGCACGCATGCAACATTGAGAAGTGGACATGTGCAACCCATCCCCGGCCTGCCCAACCCCCAATATTGTGACCAACATCATATGTGACATCGCTGCAACATCTGTTCCAAACTGAGGCATGGTGCGCGTACTACCGTGGCAAAACATTTCCAGGCAGCACAGCGAACTTGAAGAAATTCAAGACCGATGCTGCGGCAATCCTGCAATGCTTCCGACAACTGCAAGCAAAAAGCGGTTCCTTGGCAGCAAGACCTCCAGCTCATCCTGCGACCCCTTGTCTCTTCTGTCGTCTCAGGCACATCCACTGGTGCGTTCTGACAACTCCCGCAACTGCCGGTTGCTTTGTGACACCGCGTAAAACGACGTCTCTTTCGAGTTATGCTTTGCAGCTGTGCTGTTGTTGTTCCCGATTGTCCACTGCAAAACCGGGTTCTTGCTCTACAGCTACAGAAATTTTCGCCGCTTGTTTGCATACTTTATTGCAGTAGTTAACCACATTGCATGAAGCATCCATCCATCAACATGTGCGCCAGCTTATAAAGTCATTAGCCGACCTTCAATTTCACACGGGAAGCGTATTCCAAAGACATGTGTCAGGTCAGAAAACGTAATCTTCCGATGGCACAGCATAAAACTACTCTCTCACCTCTGGTTTGGAGTAGAGCCGTCTTTTATGTATAAATCCTGAACACTAAGAGTCCAAGCCCCGAGCATCACGAGCATCAGACGCACCATGACGAAACTCTCTGGTGCAAAGTGCTGTATGACGGCACATTGAATTCTCCCACGTCGTGACGACATCAAGAGCATCATAGTCCCTGAAACCTGACCCCTAAAACCCCGAACCCTCCCAGGAGGGCATCAACAGCTCAATGTATGCACGGGTTTCAAGAGTTCTCTACGGCGTTCAAACAGTTTCTGTAAGCGCTGCAAAGGGCATCGGGGAATTCAATAGGTGTCGCCCAGACTTGGACTTTTTCTTCAGTTTCAGTGCCGGTCTAGTGACTGGGTTTAGCTATTCGAGCAGATGAGTATGCTATATAAGTCTATACAATGTATTTGTAGACATCATGGTAATGGCAAACATACAAATATGCATGAGAGAGTCAGGCACCTAGTCGAACATGTCGCGGTCCCCCATTCCCTACGCCGACTGCTGCTACCACCAGTACTGGCGCTGGTCCTAATACGAGTGCTAGTGCTGCCATCGGGGCCGACTGCTGCCAGTACTGGCGCTGGTCCTAAAACGAGTGGAAGTCGCAACTGCCCTCACGCAGGATTTAGTGCTGCCACAGGGGATGTCGCTGGCCCCTTCACCATGCCCTGCGCCGGCATCCGCCACCGCCGCCGCGGCGTCACACCCACGTAGGGTAAACATGTATCCGCCTGTGTCACCTCTGCACCGCTTTGCCTGTTCTACGTTCACCTCTTTGTGAGATTCTCGATCTAGCTTCGCGTTCCATTCACCATGTTGGAGGTACCATAACTGAAGAGAGATTTCATGAAGGCAACAAGTTTCTGTTTGGGAAAATTGGTCAGTTGGATGGAAGACATCGGAAGTTGGATGCAGGGAGAAAAGATCACCCGGATTTAGGGGAAAGGTTGAAACAATCTGGTTATTCATATAAGCCCTAAGCCCTACACCCCGCCGCCCGCGCTTACGGCAACGCCGGGGTTCTGACTTTCAGGCTTTGGGATCAGGCTTTAGGGTTCAGCGGGTTCAGGGTTTCTGGGTTTAGTATTGATCATCGATGGTTGTTTTAAGCTTAAGTTCCCCCTTTCATATTTTTTACCTTTATAGTTTTTTAAAGCAAGCCTGTGAAGACCGGAGACCATTATGAACCGCTTACAAATCTTTTAGATGCTTTGCGCAATCTTGAAAATTGTGTAGAGGTCATACAACAAGCCAAGGAAAAAATAAGACCAATAGAACCAAAAGAAAACTCCACCCACATAATCTGCTGGACGCCCATGGGCGATAAACAACAACTTTCTAAAGGACATCGACGGGGCAGAAGCGGAAGGCGAAAAGGATCACAACCAAGAAATCAAACCCCCCCCCCTGCCACCCAAAGGGGCCGGACGCAAAAAACACACTGGGTAGGGTTGTTTTTGTTTGCTCCGGCCCCGCCGAATGGTGGCGGCGTCCAACGGGGCCCCGCGCCGGCGGCCAACGGCGCTTCTCCTTCCCCTGCCTATCGGCGGGGTCGGAGCAAAAAAACACACCCTGGGTGGTGTTTCTTTTTGTTGCTCTGGCCCCGCCGACAGGTCTCGGCGCCCAACGCGGCACAACAAAAAAAAAAAACACTTTGCACACCCAAGAACGACAGCAAAAACACTTCTGGAAACCAATGACACGGGGCACGAGCCACAACACCAAAAAAAACACCCTGACCGTAGGAAGAGCCCTCTCTCCTAAGTTGCGGCAGAACCTTTCGCTTCCGAATTCAGGGCTCTTTTGCTGAGGGCATTGGAACTGGTCCGAGTGTTGTTTTTTTGTTGTGGCCCCTTTTTGCTCGTGCCCCGTGTCATTGGTTTCTAGGTTTTTTTCTGTCGTTCCCAAGCGTGCAAAGTGTTTTTTTTGTTGCGCCCCGTTGGGCGCCGAGACCTGTCGGCGGGGAAACACCACCCAGGGTGTGTTTTTTTGCTCCGACGCCGACGATAGGCAGGGGAAGGATCTGGTGTACTGCATTGGGTCTAGAAAGACCCGGCGGGGCCACAACAAAAAAACAAACACCACTTCCCCTACGGTCAGGGTGTTTTCTTTTTAGGGACTAAACTTACTACAAGTATTGTATACCCCAAAACCCCAGTCTGACTATTGAGGCCCCTATATTACCCCTAATGAAAGTAGGGATATACGTAAGCATATCTACTTATAACCCTATTATAACCCCCTAAACCCTAAACCCTAAGCCCTAAACCCAACCCTGCTAAGTCCCGTGATCCTCTAAGTATCATTGGCCCAAAGCCCTGCTCTTGAATGCCCCGATACTAAGCCCTTATGGTAGCCCATATCGGAACCATTGCAAAAGAAACCATTAAAAGGGAAGGTTGTCTGATTATGAAGGCCCCTATATTAAATCCGAGTAACACCATTTCAAGCCTTGCCTGGACCCTAAAATGTGATAAGCAAATCAGAAGAAAATGAAAAAGCTCGTAATAAAGCAGTCACAAGAAGGACTCCTAACCCTTAACCCTCAACCCTGAACCCTAAACCCTAAACCCTAAATTTTACAGGCTGCGCTAGGTAGGTCCTTTGTATGCCCTAAACCCAAACCCCTAAACCCTAAACCTTACACCCAAACCCAGGCTTCAGGGGTGCCCATGAGCTGGGACGGCCCGGAATTCCCTGCCGCTTTCGACTACCCCAGGACAGCTTTTTGCAGGAGCTTCGAGATAGATTTTGGAGGGTTTTAGAAGGTTTGATAGGTTTTTGTTTATCAGCTTAGTGTCTTTTTCATCGGTGTTCTCTTGGGTTCTGTAATGCGCGGCTTTACAGGGCCCTATGGGGCCACAGGGTTCTCTAGCACCTTGCAGGTTTGCGGGGTTTGGGCAGGTTGTGGTATGCCTGAAGGATCAACGGACTGAGTTTGGCGGTTATAGTCCTAATTCGGGCTACGAGCAAACGGGTTTCCCAAGTACCGATAGCATTGGTGGGGTATGGGGGTTTCTATTGATTCAATGTGCTTGCCTGTTGGGGGCGTTCATTATTTTCGGTGTTTCGGAATTGGGAAAACAAGCGACCCTAAACCCTAAACCCTACTGCGAGAAAACTCATGTGTCCAGCGTGGCAGCCAGATGGGCAAAGACCACGAAGCCTTTCTAAAAGGTTTAGGGTTTAGGGTTTAGGGTTTACGGTTTAGCTTTAAGGGACTATACCCTCTACCTTTCACCTAATTTGGCAGGTCTGTTTCCAGGCGGAGCATTCCGTGAGCTGGCAAAGATCTTGGAGCAGCGTTGC